AGTCACTCTACGACATCAAGCAAGCTCCGCGACTATGGCAACAATACCTACACGCTCGCCTCATTCGCATCGGCTTCAAGCAATTGCCGCACGACCAGGGCATATACCGGCTCACGAAGGGTACCGACTACATCCTGCTAATCGTCTATGTAGACGATCTGCTCTACATCGGCTCAACTGACGGCATTACAACCTGGTTCGAAGGGGAGCTGCAGCAAGACCTCACACTCACGGTCTCATCTACCGTCACACAGTACCTCGGCCTCAACATCCGGGAAGAGGAAGACGCTATCTACCCCAGCACTGCGAAATACGCCGACACCATCGCCAAGCGTTTCGCACTCACACCGACTGTCATCTCCACACCGTACTGCTACACGACAGGAAACAACAAGGAAGGCTCCGCTCTACTCAAGCCCGCCAGCATACGCGACTACCAGAGAAAGCTGGGCTGCCTTCTCTTCGCAGCTGTCACCTGCCGCCCAGATCTATCCTACTCTGCAAGCCAGCTCGCCACCCACCTCAAGAAGCCTGAAGCGGAACATCTGGCGGAGCTCGACCGCGCTCTTCACTACCTTGTCAGTACCCCGACGATCGGCCTGACTTACCATAAGAACGCAACTACAACGCCTAAGCTAATCGGTTACGTCGACGCAGATCACGCGTGCGACTCCGACAACAGACGATCACGCACCGGCTACATCTACCGCTTCGAGCCTATCGGTCCTATCTCCTGGCAGTCGAGCAAGCAGGAATTAATCGCTCTCTCCTCAGCTGAAGCAGAATATATCGCACTCTGCTCAGCAGGGCTCTCGTTATCAGACCAAATTGGTATGATGGTCTGATTTTCAGACGTAGATTTTCGCTTTCATCTGATTTCTAAGACAATGCTTTTTATTTCGTCTGATCCGTAAGATGACTGATTTTAGTTCATCTGATATTTCAGAGCAAGCTCTTTAGTTAGTCTGAAATTTCAGAGAACGAGTTGTTTTTCGTCTGATACCGATCCCCCTCCCCCCAACCCTCCCTTTCCCCCCCGATCTCTCGCTACTCTACCAGCTCAGCCCCCCCTTCTATGCCCTCGCTCCTCTTCCAGGCCTACTCCTGTCCAACCCTTCTCCCCCTTTCCCCAACCTGAGGTCTCTCCAGGTCTCGCTCCCAGCCTAGCCCGCTTTCATGCCCCTCCTAATGTCTCGCAGCCCAGCCCCCCCTTCCCTTCGCGTCGCGTCCCTCCACCTCCACCCACCCTGATCCCTCGCGTCGCAGCCCCTCATTGTCATGTGCGTGCCCCTCAATAGACACACAGCTGTCTGTCAGCTAGCGAGCTGTCAGCACCGCGCCAGGGGCGCGTTCATTAACAAAACAAGCATGATTATGTTAGACAAGTGTGTTAGCTAAATCAGACTGTGCAAATTGAATCGTATGAAGAATCAGACTAAGCTTTAACATTCGTCCAAAAAATCAGACCAAAAAAATATGCCCGTCTGAACGTCAGACAGAACGGTTTTTTTACTTAGGTATGTCAGACAGGCCCAAATCCTAGCAAGAGCCCTGCTGCTCAGCCACCAAGGAAGGACTGTACCTTCGCGAACTCCTGGAGGAAGCCAAGCCAGCCCAGTTACCGAACTTCACCCTGTTCTGCGACAACCAGTCGGCCATTCGCATAGCCAACAAGAACGGCTTCGCGAACAGGACGAAACAGATCGCCCTGCGATATTTCTTCGTGAAGGACGAGATCGAGAAGGGGAGACTCGAGCTGTCATACTGCCCCACGTCCGAGATGGCAGCTGATTACTTCACCAAGAAGCTCGGAAAACAGAAGTTCGAGTACTGCATGCTGCTGACTGGACAGAGCCACGTCATCAGCAGCGACACTCCAGAAGCGAAGGGGAGTGTTGGAAACAACTAATTCTAAGCGCCTCTGTCGTGTCGAAACACCAAGGCACAAACGAAGTACAACATATCGCAGCATCAGCGAGTCAACCCTCGGAGGTTGAGCAACTGCTGGAGGTTACGCGAAAGTCAAAGGTCAGGGACCTTTGACCTGACAAGTACAGCGCGACAGCAAGGACACACAACTGACTCGCTACAGAGCAGTTGCCCGAGTCGTCACTGTATCGAACCGCAACAGCAACAGTAAAGAAGTTATAACTGTATCTCTTCGTATTCCTTGTACTCTTATATACTCCTGTATCTCCTTGCTTTAATCAACTTACTTTGCCCTCACATACCAGCGCAAGGTGGTTCAACTTCTTCATTAAACGCTTCCGCTATTACATTAACCCTACCTAGAGTTCACCCCTGCAAAGATCCTAAGGGCTATTTTCTCAGCCCAACAGTTGTAACCCATGTTGGCTACCCCACTATAGCCTACCAGGGCTCTCGCTAGGATTCAAGCCTGTCTGACAGGATGGGTAAAAAAAAAAAAAATCGTCTTACGCTCAGATTGGCGCTTTTTTTTCGTCTGACCTCTAGGACGAAACAATAACACAAGTCTGATTAGACAGATGAACTATTCTACGTGGTCTACACTAACTACATCAATTCTACAACATACAATGTGAAAACTAAGTATCATTTCACCATTCTACGTATCAGTCAGACTCGCTACCACTATCATCAGCATCACTACAGCTGGCTAGGCTATCAGACGGCACTGGAATAGGATAGTTAGCATTCCCCTTGCGACTGAGCCAGGGGAACTCTGCATCCAGCCTGGCTGCTTCTGCTACTGCTGCCGCTTCGCGTGCTGCTGCCTCTGCCGCAGCCACAGCAGCTGCTGCTGCTGCTGCGTGGGCCTCTGCTGCTGCTGCGGATCTTCTTTTATTGCGCTTGCTCTCCCTCTCCACTCCCGCCAGCAACACATCCTTTGCAGGCCTCCTCTTCTTGGATTTGCGCCACCGAGCCACCAACTCGGGCCACTCCATGTTGTAGCTCAGAAGAGACACGGTCATGAGCTCACCAAGCTTGGCGTCGCACAGGTTCCCCCTCAGCCAGCTCTTGATCACGTTTTGCCACGAGAACCCGCGCTCGCACTCCACAGTGCTCATCGGGAGCACGGCTACAGCGATCCACAGGCGGACAATGTTGGGGTAGCTCGTTGTCCAATCTGGTGAGGAGAGCATGTGCTTCAGGCCCTCCGCGAAGCCGACATCCTCCTGGTGGGTGCTCATGATTGTCGCGAAGGTGTTCAGCTCCCTCTGTGCTTTGGCCCAGTCCACACCTGTACGAATGGGCGGGTGAATAGAGGAAGACAAAGATGCGGCCGCATGAATACAAATGTAACGCGACGCGGTTTCAAAACGATTAAGCCCGAGATCTCACGACAATACGCCTAACACACCTGGCAGAGTGTCCGGATCCTCGGGATGCTTCTTGTACATGTCGCGCAGCGACTGCAACCACTGCGCCAACCGTCGCTCGCGCTTAGCCTGTGACTTGGGGTATTGGGACTTCTTGAAGAGCTTCGCGCCATTGAGCGACGCGAGATCATGCAGTCGGTAGTCGAGCTGCTTAATCAGCTCAACAACGAAGTCCCGCCCGAGCTTCAAACAGGAGCTGAGGTCGCCTTTGCTCTGCTGCCCCACGATAGCCTCTTCGTGCAGCAGGTAGCGGTGAGTTGTTGGCACTCCGGTGGAATCTAGGCCATCAACCTTCACCTCCCGACACTTCCCCGAGGCATGTTTTGCCAAGAATGGACCCTCCTCTTCTTGGATTTAGCTTTCAGTGAAGCCCTGTCAGGCAGCACAGGGTTAGCCCGAAGATTGGTGGTTGTTGCAACAGAAACAACAGGGCGGATGGATTCACGGCCGGATGTAGGCGAGCTTGTCGACGTGGGTGTGGTAGCCTTGGGCATGCCATCGTCCGCCTTTTCTTCGGCCACAGTGTCTGGTGATGCGTTGGTTGGGGGTATAACTTGGGTTGAGCACGAGGCAACGTGGGGTGCAACGACGGGGATCGACTTGCCCCGTGTGAGAAAATCTAGCGCTGAGACTCCAGGGGGGTCTAACTCCTCTGGAATGGCCATCAGGGGGTATGGCGAAAGTGGAAAACTGCACTGCGGGGCCAGTCGAGTGCAGCGGAAGAAAAGGATGTAGAAGATGGACGGTGTGCCCCCAGCCTGGTCCCTCAAACCCTCGTCCCGTAGCGCGGCAGAGTGATACGCAGTGCGAGTGTGGGCGGGGAACCACAGTTACGTGCATCCGCGATGCATACAGGTCACCCCATCGCACAAAAGGACAGTGTCGGTGCCTGGGTGTAGCTGGCATCGGCGCCGACACCCACGCAGCGACAAAGTGCTGGCAGCATCTGACATGGTTAACTGCTGCCAGCGGTGCTGTTTCCTCCAGCGCGGATGCTACGGGACAGAAGCATTCATTACGCATGCATGTATAGATGCTGGCAGATACCCTAACTAGTGGCCCTATGGACAAGTGGGCACAAATGTCGGTTTCAGACGGAATCGTACTCCTCATCTGGATTCTCAGATGAAGAATAGTATGCGATCTGAAAATTTATCTCAAGTAAAATCATTTGTCTTACTGATCATCTGAAAATAAAATCACAGTCTTACAGATCATCTGAAATAAGAAAATGAAGTCTGAAACGCAGACCATCAGACCAAATTGGTCTGATAACGAGGGCCCTGTATTCAATCCGGCATTTCGTGAAGCAGAGGTATCAGTTGGTTTTAAAGCCCAAGACCTGAATTACAAAAAAAGGAAGGCAAACTGTGCACAGTTTGCCTACCGAACCCACAGTTGACCTCCCGAGCCAGGCTGGTTACCAAAAAACGTCGCTCTAAAAAACAGAGTTGTAGAGCAGAAAGGGTTTGCTTGGCGAGAGTCCCAACCACACCGTCCTGAAGGAACAAGAGCTCAAAATGTGCACAGTTTGGGCTTCTTTGGTAATTCAGGTCGTGCTTTTCCCGTAGTATGCGATCGCCTTATCGCCGTTGATAAACACCGCAGTTGCGCTACACGCCGATCTGCCCCTATCTCATGCCTAGCCTTCCACGTCGTGAATCCCATGCCGCCGCCGTCTCTTCATCCGCAGTCTTTTCTCCACCTCCCATCGTCTTACCGCCTCATCCCTTCCTTCCTACCCTCATCCCAAGCTTAGCCGAGCACAAAGCGCATATTATTCCACGACGCGGTTCAAACTCAATTCCCCTCACATCGTCCTCCCCGTTGACGTACCGTCGCCCTCGCTTCCCCCGTTTCCCCGTCGCCCTTACTCCTAAAAATAACCGCTTCGCCACATCGTCGCTCACGCCTTCCCCCACCTGCCCTCACGGACACAGTCGCGCACGCCTTCCCCCATCTTCCCTCACGCTTCCCCGCTCATCGCCCCCGCTTCCTCCCATCGTCGGCCAAGCTTCCCCCCATCGTCGCCCACGCTTCCCCCCATCGTCGCCCACGCTTTCCCCCATCGTCGCCCACGCTTCCCCCCATCGTCGCCCACGCTTCCCCCCATCGTCGCCCACGCAGCCCGAACCGTCGCCCACGCAGCCCGAACCGTCGCCCACGCTTTCCCCCACCGTCGCCCACGCTTTCCCCCACCATCGCCCACCCTTCCTCCAACCTTCGCCCACCCCCACCTTCGCCCACCCCCACCGTCGCCCGCGCTTGCCCTCCCATCGCCCTCGCTTAGCCTTGCCGCCGACCTCCCTTCCCTCCCACCTCTCTCCGCGTCGTCATCACTCCCTTGTCTATCACGTTCCCCCTCTTCACCATCGCTTCCCCTGTGTCCCTTCCCCATTGCCTCGTTTGGTCGCTCTCGCTTTCCCCATTGCCACCCTCTCTACTCCTACCATCGTCCATGGTTACCACCCCACCCTTGCATCCTTATTTCCATCTCTTTCATTCTCCCTCCCCCTCAGCCTCTCACCCACCCTGGACGGGGAGGTATGGCGGGCTGGGCTGGGAGCTAGGGATGGGGTCGTGACTCGTTCGCTGTGGGGTGTGGAAGGGTGCGTGGTCAGCAGCACCCACCCCTTTCTCTCTTGCACTGACCTCCTCCCCTCTCTCGCACCAACCCTGCACGCATGGCAGGTGGTGATGAGGCTTTGGAGCAGAGTGTTAGGGGCACAGCCAGGGCAGCGCGTGCAGGCGGGCAGCAAGGAGTGCAGTGCTGCAGGGGGCGGGTCAGGGGAGCGGGGGAGGCAGGGCAGGGGAGCCGGGGGTTAGGGAGAGAGGGTGCCTACCCTGCCACACTATTACCTCCTGCACTCCCCCCTTACTCCGTTCCGTCATTCCCCCACAGTCGTCCTCCTCTCCCTCTCCCTTCCTCCCTTCCTTCCGTCCTGCCTTCCTCTCGTCCTCCCTTCCTCCCGTCCTCCCGTCCTCCCTTCCTTCCGTCCTGCCTTCCTCCCGTCCTCCCTTCCTCCCGTCCTCCCTCCGTCCCGTCTTGTTCCCATCCATCCAATCCTTAGCTCCTCCTCACCCCATCTCCTCCCTTCCCTCGAACGAGCTCGCTCATTCCCCTCCTGTCACCCACGCACGCACCCTCCCCTCGACCGACAAGTCGTTCTCCGCTTCCGTCGCATATGCGTTCATTTCCTCTTCCCTCATCTCCCCATTCCTCATCTCCCCATTCCTCATCTCCCCATTCCTCATCTCCCCATCCCTCATCTCCCCATCCCTCATCTCCCCATCCTTCATCTCCCCATTCCGCCTCACCCCATTCTGCCCCACCCCATTCCGCCATGCCATCCTACTCCTCATCCCCATTCCCTCGTTTCCCCATCCCTCCTTTCCCGATCCCATCATTCCCTCTGCCAACTTTCCCATCCCACCATACGGTCATACCCCATCCCGCGACCTCCCCGTCACCTCCACCCGACCCCTCTCCTCCCTGCTTCTTCCCATCTTCCCATCTTCCGCCTCGCTAAAAGGTTTGTTCTTCATCACCTCTGCTATCCATCCTTTCTATACCCATCCCCTCCTCCCCATCCATCCCATCCCCAAATCCTGCCCCTATCCCTCCTCTCGCGATCCCTCCTCTCGTTTTCTCATTCCCTCCTCTCCCCGCCCCGTTCCTCCATGTCTCCCATCTGCCGTACCTCACCTCCATCTGTACCTCCCATCCTCCATCCTCGTTACCGTATTCTCCCGGACATAACACCCTAGGGTATAGCTAAAAATAGAGGGAAAAAATGGGGGGGGTCTCCTCATAGGAAAAAAATACATAATACCCGGGTCTTTACATATGGCATATTTTAGTGTTAGTGTTTTTTTAATTAGTCAATGTGGGTGTTTTGCTGGTCGTTTTAGCATCACTGCCTGAGGCGCGAATGTGAGTTTCGGCCTCGAACTTCATCGCCCCCACGAAAATGGCATGTGACACCTCTCTTGCCACTTGCAACGGAAGATTCACCTGCACGTGGCGACAGAGAAATATTGGGAGGGGGAAAATCTCGGCAGATTGCCTTTGAATGTACCGCGAAATTTCATTGAGGGAGAAATTCACACGATATTCTTCCGTATTGCAGCTACTCGTTAATGACTATAATAATGAATCCGTAAGAAAAGGGGGGTGTTATAGAAAATCAGCCAAAAAGGGGGGTATAGTAGAAACGAGGTCTATCATGACACCCACCCCGCACAAGCTACCCGGGGGTGTACAATTATGGGGGGGTGTTTTGTCCGGGAGTATACGGTACGGTACCTCCCTGCCACCCTTTCTCCTCCCCACCCTCCTCCCCAGCCTTTCTTCCTCCCCTCCCTTCTGCTTCTCCCCCAAGCGTCCTCCCTGCCTCCCTTCCTCCCATCATCACTTCCTCCCTTCATTCCTGCATTCATCACTTCTTCCCTTCCTCTGTTCCTCCCTCATTTGCCAGTTGTCATTCTTTTGAATGCTTGCTTCCCTTATATTTCAGCCACGTCACATCTGACTTCTTGGTTTGTGTTTGGACAGGCCTGCTCTGCATCTGGTTGTGAATAACCTAGGCTGTCTGATAGTAACATGATGCATAGCCATGCCATGTATTGGATTTTTTTTATAATACAGGATTATTATGAGCCTCAGAGCAGTCATACATATGACCAATACCAAGGAGTTCAATAATTAATATATTACTGTATCTGTAAAGTAAGGGGAATCACCCAACTCGAGAAGGGAACAAAGCTAGGGGGTTTGTGTGTGATGTTGCTTCCCGGTTTGTCTTGCCAGTCTGCTACACTGCAAGCAAAAAAACCAGGCCGTGGTAAAGCCACATCTGGTGCTGGGCACCTGTACCTGCATTGGGGGATATGGGGGTGAGTGAAGTGGGAAAGACAGTAAACGGAATGAGCAGAGGGGAGGAGAAGAAGCTGCATTTCGACACAAAAAACTTCACCCAGCGGGAGCAAGGGTGAAACAGAGGGAGCAAGAGTGAAACAGAGGGAGCAAGGGTGAAACAGAGGGAGCAAGGGTGAAACAGAGGGAGCAAGGGTGAAACAGAGGAAGCAAGGGTGAAACAGAGGGAGCAAGGGTGAAACAGAGGGAGCAAGGGCGAAACAGAGGGAGCAAGGGTGAAACAGAGGGAGCAAGGGCGAAACAGAGGGAGCAAGGGTGAAACAGAGGGAGCAAGGGTGAAACAGAGGGAGCAAGGGTGAAACAGAGGGAGCAAGGGTGAAACAGAGGGAGCAAGGGTGAAACACAGGGAGCAAGAGTGAAACAGAGGGAGCAAGGGTGAAACAGAGGGAGCAAGGGTGAAACAGAGGGAGCAAGGGTGAAACATAGGGAGCAAGGGTGAAACAGAGGGAGCAAGGGTGAAACAGAGGGAGCAAGGGTGAAACAGAGGGAGCAAGGGTGAAACATAGGGAGCAAGGGTGAAACACTGGGAGCAAGAGTGAAACAGAGGGAGCAAGGGTGAAACAGAGGGAGCAAGAGTGAAACAGAGGGAGCAAGGGTGAAACAGAGGGAGCAAGGGTGAAACAGAGGGAGCAAGGGTGAAACAGAGGGAGCAAGGGTGAAACAGAGGGAGCAAGGGTGAAACAGAGGGAGCAAGAGTGAAACAGAGGGAGCAAGGGTGAAACAGAGGGAGCAAGGGTGAAACAGAGGGAGCAAGGGTGAAACAGAGGGAGCAAGGGTGAAACAGAGGGAGCAAGGGTGAAACAGAGGGAGCAAGGGTGAAACAGAGGGAGCAAGGGTGAAACAGAGGGAGCAAGAGTGAAACAGAGGGAGCAAGGGTGAAACTCAGCGAGCAAGGGTGAACGCCGACGCCCTGCCCTGTCTACAAGTATGGTCTATGCCTAGTACTTAGCGTGATATCTCAAACTGTGCACAGTTTGCTGTGCTCGCGGTTTTCTGGTTGTGGGAAGGACCCCACCCATCATGGGAAGCGAGAAACTTATGTCGCAAATTGGTTTCGCGAGTGAAAGTCTCTCGCAACCCAACCTAACCTCTCCGTGCCTGCCTCCCGAACCTAGTTTTTAGCGTTGACTTCCGTTGAGTAATTCAGGTCTTGGGCTTTAAGAACCTCAGCTACTTATCCGCCTTATCGCGAAGTATCGATTGGTACACTTACAATGTCAATCAGGCGGACATCGTACCAAAAGCTTCTCGGGATCTGATCAGGTTCTTTCGTCCAAACAATCTCAAGGCTTCATTATCTGCTATCCTGACATCAGTCTACTGTGCTTTCCATGAGCTCCCATAGCGAGGTCGTGATTTGTTTTTCTTATTTCATGAAATTATCAAGGCTACGGACAAGCATCCTTTGGTTATGTCCAGGGCCCGTGCTAGGATTTGGGGCACCCTGAGGCCTCAGGGCACCTTTCCAGAATCGTAAAAAATGCCCTGATTTGTCAGGGCAGATTTTCGAAGCCTTCCTGTATGTTCAGGGCTTTTTCAAAAATCAATCCTGACCTGTCAGGGCAAAAAACAAGTGTTCATGGTTCAGATCGGTAGGTTAAAGAGATATAAGTTGAAGTTGTATATACGCATGCACGGGGGTGGGTTCGATCCCAGGAACTCATCTATCGGAAGTAACCCTCTACTGACTAGGCCACTTCTGGATGTTTGAGTGGTTGAATGAATGCTAACCGACTGGGCTACGGGACAGGACTCACCCCCCCCCCCCCCCCCCCCCCTCTTAACAAAAAACGCGTCAGGGCAGGCCTCGGCATTCATCCTGACGCCACAGGGAAGAACACTACAGCCATTCTGAATGTTCAGGGCATTTCATATAAAACAATCCTGAGACCTCAGGGTTAAAATTTACACTATTCTGAAATGACAGGGTAAATTCAAAACTGCATCCTGAATTCAGGGTAATCAGGATGTTTTGCCCTGATAACGTGGGGCCTGGTTATGTCAGCGATACACCAGGAATATTGGATTGACCCGGAGGAACAACACAGCTATATTATTCTGGGCTCATGTGTCCAGCGCTTCAGGCATTTCTGGCCTTTACGCGTATCCAGCTGCTGGATATTACCCATCATAGCGCCATGCCGCGTGCGCCTCTGAAGGAATGAGCTCCTCTGGTGCTGAAGCGTTCTGCTGTCTTTACCGCTCTTATGAAAGGGAAAGAAAGTGAAGGATAATAAGACGGTCACTCCTGTAGCAAGGAGCTTCGATGTATCACTGGAGGAAAAGCTTCTTGCATTTACCTCTATGCATGACAACGACAATGTCGGAGTGAAAGGACCCGCCCTCGCTTGGGCGCAGACATTCTCTGCTACGACGTGGTGAATTCGACGAAGTGATCGTCGCATTGGATCAGCCCGTCCTCTGAAACCGCAGGTGGTTTTCGAGGAGGTTGTCCTCTGATTCACCAGCCCATCAACGAGCTGTGGTCGACGGGGTGCTGTTCGATGAGCTCGTCTTCTGATCTGCTTCTGGGTCGCGCGATCTCTGACAGACGGGGTGCTTTCCGAGGAGCCGGTTTCTCTGATCGAAGGGCACTGTTCGGCGAGTCTCATCTCGGCGAACTGGCTGGCCGAATTCGCGCGACTACGAAACTCTGCAGGGGCATGCGAAATTCGCTCAGGTGGCTCTTAGCGAAATTCGACCTACGAAATGGCATCACGTGCTCGACAGTGGACATCTGACGAAACCGTCGGAGCGTTTTCTACCTGGCACTTGCGCAATGTCTCTGACGGTGTAACCGTCTACCTGCACCTACTCGGCATGTGCACACCTGCGCAGATATTGACCTGCGAATGCAGCGCTGGCAGGCCGCCCTGTTGCAGCGCTGGCATGTCGCCCTTCTGCTCCGCTGGCAGACCGCTCTGTTTCAGCGTTAGCGAACCGCTCTGATGCAGTGCTGGCAATTCGCCTTGCAGAATTATTGCTAGGAATTGCAATGCCATTCTAGTGATATCACTTGCATGCTCTTCTTTGTACTCTAATTCTCAATTTTCAATGTTCTTTCAATTTCCTTAGTGGAAACTCTTGCCAAATTTCTCAGTGGTCACAGCAAGTAGTAAGAACTCTGATAGAACGATACTAGAGCGCTACGATCACCCACACAACTCCGTGCTCTCCTTCGTAGTCCACTCCCGTTGTAGGGTGACTCTCCGCAGACAACGATGGCGAGTTCATGGACGATAACTCGGACGACGAGCTGGAGTTTGGGTTATCCAAGGACTCCGTCGCGAAGCTTCGATACACGGCTATCCTGCTCCAGACGCTCGTTCTTCAGCAAGAGATGGCCTCAGTCATCATAACAGTGCAGATGTTGCTGAAACGCGTCTGGTCTTCTTTGCTCTTTGACGGCGGTAACACACCAGTTGAGTTTCAGGGCATTCATCCTGCATATGTCGCAAAGACCAAGTATAGCCGCCTTTAGTTGTCATTTCTGAAAGAAGTAGATGCAACCAAAGTGCGTCAAGCGTCTCTGGAGTATTAGAAGCCGAATGGAACGTCGTATACATTACATTGGCTGCACACTGAAAACGCGGCGTTTGCAAAGGAAAAGGCTACTAACCAGCGTGCCATCGAAATGAAAAAATTTCTAAGCGTTTATCGCTTTCAAAATTGCGTATTGTGAAAGCGAAGCTGACTGTAACGCAATTGTGCATCGTCGAAGCGCGGTATTCGCCTTCTCCGAATACATAATGTGGGCTGGGGTCATTCTTCCCCCACCCACGTCTCTCATTTTTACAATCGCTCAATTTCAATTCCCGGTTCCG